ATATACATGCATACACACACAACATACACACAACATATATACATGCACACACACAGGCACACACACACAACATACACACAGGCACACTCACGCGCATGTGTGCACGCACACATTCACACGACATACACAGTATTAAAAACTTATAATGAATAAAATGCAATGTACTAAAAAACAAGGCTCAGAGAAAAACCATCCTTGCTCCTAGATCACAGAGGGAAGAAGCCATTCAAATCTTCTCTCCTGTTCTGGAGTGGAGACCCGAATCTTTCTGTCATTTTGATCTTGTTATTTATCTGTGACCTTGGCCATATCACTCTGGGTAAAGAAATTCATGGGGACAGCTCAAGGGTTAAGAGTCGGCACCAGTCTTGCAGAGAATGGGAGACTGAATCCCAGCACCCTCCTGTAACTGCAGTTCCAGATGATCCCACACTTCGGGGCTCTGTAGGCGCCTGTAGGTGCCTGTACTCACAGGCATATGCCCACCCACAGACACATATAATTTTTAAAAATTCAAATAACAAGGCATGGAGGCACACACCTGTAACCCAGTACTCAGGAAGCAGAGGCAGGAAGATCTCTGCAAAATCAAGGCTAGCCTGGTCTATCCAGCCAGCTGCAGGACAGCCAAGATGTCCTACACAGGGAGATGCTGTCTCAAAAAGCAAAAGAAAACAAGTCAGGTGAGGTGAGACAGACCTTCAGTCTCAGAACTCCAGAGGACAAAGACAGTATGGTCTCTGAGAGTTTCAGGCTAGCTTGGTCTACACAGCAAGTTCTAGGACAGCCAGCGCTATATAGTAAGAACTTGTCTCAAAAAAAAAATCTACAGCCAAGGATGTTGTGAGCTGTACCCCAGAGGAGGTATATCAGGAGGTTGCTGGGACCTAGGCCTCACTCAGACTGGGGAGGGCCGGGAATTGTTCCTGGGCCAACTTTTCTTTCAAGTTCCTCTGGGAGTGTCCACCAAGTGGCTATTCCCGCTACAGTGGCCTAAGTAGCATGAAGTTAGGGGATGCGGCCCTGTCCCAGACTGTGGTTGGCCGGCCTGGCGCCCAGCTCCCAGAGGTATTCAATAAACGTGAAATAATAATGAGAGTCAAGACTGTTTCTCGCAGTCCAGCAGAGGGCGCTCCCAGAGCCCAGTTCCCAGCACAGGGGCAGGCCTGTGGGAGCGCAGCAGGGACCACAAGGGCAGAGGAACCCAGTGGAATCAGACATCACCCACCAAAGAGACACTAGCCCGGTTGTATGTACGTCCCTGGTGGGGGGTGGGGGGAGCCAGAAAGCGCTCCTCTGGGTAGATAGAAAGTGGAAAGGTCCAATGAGTGGTAAGAGGCCAACTCTGTGCCCCCTCTCTCCCCTCGCCTGCCTCTGCCTTTCCTCGCCTTCCATCTGTCTTTGACAGATCACAGTGAGCCTGTGACTCAGCCCCATAGGCCGTGCCAGGAACGCTATCTCACGTACACCCCCATCCCCTACCCCGGGCCAGATCTGAGGACTGAGTGCAGAGGCCACCTCAAATTTAAAAAGTGCCTTCCCTGGGGGGTGAGGTCTTATCAGCCTAGTGGGGTGACTGCACCCTTCTCTGTGCTAGTTACCTTTACTCCACAATGGAGAGTGGCGGGGATCCCCTGTGGGTGCAGAAGCTGAACTGTGTATGTTCTTGGTCCCCTTCCTCTTTCTGTGCAGGACGCTGGCACCAATGCCATCTCTCAGTCCACAGCCACTCAACTGTCCCAGCTGCGGCCTCCACAGGCCACAAACTCCCGCAGTGAAACTGAAACCCGGAGCTGATTCAGGGACAGGCGGAGATTCCTGTTTCTGATTTCTCACTACAGGACAAGCCGACTTCACTGTGGCGTCCTCTGTTTTCCTCTAAGTCCAGGGCCTCCGGCAACAATCTCTGTAAAACCCTTCTCACACTGATTCACCAGGGCTCTCTCCTGGGTAGTGCCTAACTGGAAGGCACGGTTCAGAGGACGCTCCTGCAAAGGCACCTGGGAGACCTGAACCAGAAACTTGGAGGCACTTGTCTGAGATTGACGTAGGAGGAGGGAATTTTTGACCTCTTTGATCTGCAGTCCCCTCACCAGTCCAACAGGGATCCTCGCTGGCAAGGAGGGAGGTAAAGAGGTAAAGGGGAGGGTTGGAGAAAAGCAGAAAAGGCCCCAGGAGTGAGCCATTAAGGAAAGGGCACAGGGGTTATAATTACTACCACTCAGCCACTGTTCACCAGACAACCGCGGGAGGTGGGGGGGGGGGGTGGCAGGAGGTCCCCAGGGCCTTAAAAGGGAATAGGGCCTGATTTCTGGAGCTCCACCCCCTGCACCCTCATAGAGGCTCCAAGTCTCAGGCTTGGCATTTCCTGTTGATGTGAGGTTTGTTTTTTTTACAGCTTCTCTCTCCTAGTTCCCTCTGGAAGAAAAAAAATCTTAGGAGCCTGACACTTGCTTCCTGGTAGGGACTCAAGCAGCTGGGGTTGGGGATTACTAAGAGAGGGGAGTGTCCTTGGAGAGCTGTAGGAACTGTGGGGTCCCCAGAAAGATGTAGGTAGACTTGCAGTCAGTCTAAGGGGGCTTCGTTTTTGGACTCTGGCATGAGAAGCCCAGATGTGATATCTTACAGATGCTCCAAGGGAACAGGCAGTTGTGAGTGAATGTATGATGTCAACCACCCAGGGGCCTGGTGAACTCACAGTCAGAGCCTGGGGCTCCATTTACAGAGGCTGTAATCATTGGGACTATCTATGTCAGGAAGACACTAGTAATTAGGGTACCCAGGGCAGATGATGCATGGCTTATCAGCCAAAATACTGACTGTTAGAGCTGTCACTAGACACAGGTGACAGCATGACTGAGCTGGATAAACTGGTGCACATCTGTCGTCTCAGCACTCAGGAAGTCAAAGCACGACCAACACAAGTTCAAGGCCAGCCTCAGCTAGCCACAACGGTGGTGACACTGTCTCACAGGGTCTCAGGGAAGGTAGGCACATATCACAGCCCCAAACCTCTGAGTCTATGGAACATATCCTGCCACCAAGGAGGTGTCCCCTGGAACATGGAAACTGTCCTTTATTTGCTGTCCTGGAAGCAAACAGTCACTATGTTTCACAAGGACACAGTTACTCTGTCACCACCACAGACACTATGCCAGAGCCAGCCATCACTGTCACCATGTCACAACTGCACTATGTGGAGTGCAGATACAGCCATGGTGTTACAGCTCTGTGACAGACACCAACATAGTCACCCTGGGACAGTTACAGAAGCCCAGAAGCACAATGCCACTGTCACAATCACAGTCTTCACAGCAGAGTGAGGCAGAGCCCTGAGTGCAGGCTGCCCCAGCCTGTCACACACAACTGAAGACCCCTCCCTGAGACTACCATGGCAGGAGTCCCAGCTGCTCCACACCTTCATCTGTCACTTCAGAGAGGAGGGAATTCTTCTTTGATGGGACCTCACATGCCCTTGGCACAGGTCCATGGGGCACCTTGGGGTGCCACGAAGCCCTAACTGCCTGGATGGGGCTTGTTCCAAGTCATAATACAGGTCTGGGCAGTGCTCCCCATAAGATCCCCTAGATTCCTACCGCCAGATACTATAGGGCTGCCCTGATCCAATTCTCCACCCACTAGAAGAACCTAGTGTGCTACCCCATCGGAAGTATCCAGCGTGGTTCCTCAGGCACCCCTTATCGAATGCTCCCTAGGATACCCTACAATGACTCCAACCCTCGGTAAGTATCTCCAAGTGGTACTCCCTTTCCAGCAGCTGCTCTGTACCTTTACTGGCTAAGCTTGTACAGAGCCCCAAAACAGCATGAATTCCCCGGACTCTCAACTTTACCCTGAATCTCCTATAAGTAAAAGGGCTTCTGGTGCAGTGGCGCCCCCTCTCTCCACCCACGCGGGTCATGCTGACCCCCAACCCGCCCCACAGCGCCCCCTTTGGCCAGCTTTGCGCGTGGCGCCCCTCAAGCGCTTGTGCGCTCCGCGCGCCGGGGGAGTCTCACCGCCTACTGCTGCCTCCGCTGGTACCAGTGCCGTGGAAGGACGAGGGCCAAGACATGCGGGTAGTCCGCAGGCCTGGCCTGTCGCCAGTGTCCACGGCGTCGGCGCGCTCTATGGGCCGGTGCGGCGAGCGCTCTGTCTCTGAGCGCTCAGCACTGTCCGAGTAGCCGCGCTGCTGGATGCGGATCGGGGTCCTCGGCTGCCGCCACAGGTGCTGGGGGGGCGGCTTCAGGGTGGCCTGGCCCTCCCGGGGCCCGGGAAGAGAGAGAGACAGGCTCCTCTCCGAGGGGGCGGCCGGAGGCTCCATGGCTCCCGCTCTGTCTTGTGGGGCGCCTGGGGGCAAAGCGTCCCCTGGCCTGTCCGAGCTCAGTGGCGCCACGGCCGAGGTGCTTGGGGACCCACGGGAGCTCCTGGCCTCAGTGGGGCCATGGCGCCTAAGGGCGGAGAACGCGGACGGCGGCGGCGCCGGTGTCCTCCTGGCGCTTGGAGCCCGCTGCGCTCTCGGAACCCGGCGCCAGCCGCGACTCCCCGCCCCGGCCCGCCCCTCCCTGCCCCCCGCCCGCCCGGCGACAGTCACCGCGCCACCCCCCTCCTCCTCCTCCAAGGAGAGGAGGGTGGCGGTCCTCCACACCCACGCACAGCCCAATCCCGCAGGGGAGGGGGCGCCAACGCGCGCCAATCTTCAAGAGCCCTTTGGAGCAGCAAGCACGCACAGGGACCGAAGAGTTAAAGGGTTAATGGCATCAGGACAGAGACATCCGACTGGTTGGCGGGGTGTCACTCAGCCGCATCCATCAAGGCTGGGGCGGAGTCAGGGGCTGTCGTATCCTAGAACGTCTCTAGAACCCCAGTCACCCTTTCTCCCCTTTTTGAGGAGTGGTCCTCGTGCCACGAAGACGCGGTGTATGCAAGCCAGCAATATTGCACGCAGGACCATGACGGCGTGTGGCTCCTCCATCGCCTGGCGGGATGTGAGCGCACGTGGCCTCTTCCGAGGGTTGTCTATGTTTTCGATGCCGCCTGGAAGTGAGTGCGCGCACGTGGTGGCTGCTCCCGCTGCTGCTGTCGGGGGTGTAAGAATGCCAGCGCACGTGTGCCGCCCGTCGGGAGGGCGGAGCGTCCCGTGGGGTCTGTTCCGGTGGCCCAGGACTGTGCACACCTTCCCACGCACTCCGGCGCTGTATTGTGATTATGATGGGAGGGTGCTGGTGCGAGTTGTGCACGCGATTCTTCTTCAGTTGTCTGGCTGTGACTGAGGACGCGTGCTGCTGTGTGGTCGGCCTGGAGGTCTCTTGAGGTATGGGGGTGTGTCCTTTTGGGTCCCCCTGTGGCTAATATATAGGTATCGCTACCTCTTTTTTATCTTTCAATTTTTTATTACATTATTTTTGTGTGTATGTGTATGGACACTCGTGTCCCCCACTTCATCATCCAAATGCAACATATCTCAACTCCTGCAGCAAGATTTGGTCCAGCTGTGCACCCTCAGTCCTTTGCGAATACCCATTAGATGCCGTGGAGAGGAGAGGTCAGAGGACATTGTGCGAAAGTCAATTCTCTCTGAAAGATTCCCTGGTGGGCCTCGGGAAGCGAACTCAAAATAGGCAAGCTTGGAGGCAAACGCCCTTACCCACTGAGAACCCCGCTGGCCCAATCGCCGCCCCCTCTTCTTTTAATTTTTAGAGACTTTAAGCTCTTCTTCAAAAGGTAAACTGAGGCAGATGGGAGGGGTAGCTGGGATAGGAGAGCCTTGGAGGGTGAACCCCACCCCTGTCGTTTTCAGGCGAGTAATCAGTCGGAGCCTCTTCCCCGCGTCCCCCGCCCTCAGAACCCCCCTTCCGGCACCTAAATCCGGAGTTGCCGTGACTCACGCTCCCGCCTCCCTCAGCGCCGTGCCGAGCGAACGAGCAAAGAGCGAGTGGGAATCCGAGCGTTTCCCTATCCCTCCTCCCGGCTCTGGCTGAGCCCCGATGGCTGCTGGGTTTGGGGGTGGGGTGCTATGCGCCCTCGTATCCCACTTCCCTCCTAGGCTAGATCGCTGCTCAGACGCTGCAATGTCCCTTGGTCCAAGCCCTCTCCCCAGTACATCACCTCTCCTAGTCGCTAGAGGGACAGGCCTTGTATTCTTGCCTCCATCCCCGTTCTTATTAACACACAGGCAACAAACCTTTCCCAATTTCCAACTTCCTCAACCACTTTTCTCTAGCTGGAGGGGACTCCTAGCGTGGGCGAAGGAACGCGGCGGCGTAAGAACTGGCCCCCCACCAACAGCCCCAGGTGTTCCCCAAAGCCAGAACTGTATCTGTCCGCTACTTTTCTCAGGAACCTTCCCCCAAGCATCTAAACGGGATTTGATGATGCCCAGCTGTACCTTGTAACCTCGGCCCCAGCTCTGGATGAGTGTCACAGGGCTGTGAACCTGGAGGCGGGGAATGGGGGAGGGCCAGGTCTCCGCTGGGCTGCTGGTAAAAGGCTCTGGGCCAAGACTGGTATTTGAAGGCTCAAGGACTGAGGTGAATTAAGCGGGACTTGAACTAAATAAAGGCTGGAGTGTGGGAGAGGGTACTTTTTTCTCTCATCTGGAAATAAGTATCATGGCTTAAGCAGAGACCCTAGAACCCTCCAAAGGAGTGGATGGGGGTTGGGGATAAGATAGATTGCCATTACAGAGATAGGGGACCAGGGTAGCTGAGTCTGGGCAGTCCGAGCCTGCTCAGCTCTTTGGCTCTCTAACTGAGCTCTTGCCAAGACGTTGGGGCAGGGCTAAGGTGCCCTGGGAGGACTCAGATGAGAAATAGCTAGAAAGCACAACCCGTGGGCTGGTGAGATGGCTCAGCAGGTAAAGGTGCTTGCTGCCAAGCCTAACCACTTGAGGTAGATCCCCAGGACCCACATGGTAGAGGGAAAGAACCGAATCTTAAAATTTGTCCTTTGACTGAAACACAGACACACAATAAATAACTAGGTAAATAAATAAATAAATAAATAAACAAAAATAAATAACAAAATAAAAAATTTTAAGAAAAAAATGCAGATAGGGCTTAGCCTTTTTTCAAACACCCTAAACCTTAGACCTACTCCAAGATGCTACTGCCATCCTGGTTAAAGCTGAGAGACGTAGAATACTGCCAGCAGGGAAACTGAGGCAGCTGCACCACACACAAAGGCCAGCCCCTCCATTCTGAATTTAGTAGGCATCCTGAAGGCTCTGGAGGAGTGCAAAACCTTTTCATCCATGTAGGCCCCTGCTGACTCAGGCATCTTAGGAAAAGGTTCCTGAGGCTGCCAGGGCTCCTCCTAGAAGAGCTGCCACAAATAAATCAGCAGGCTTCAGACTTGTAAGCTACATTTACAAGACGTTGGGAGCCCTGGAAGGGCTCCTGGTTGGCTTAATTCTTCCATGCTTACCTCCCAGTCTGATCCCCCTCCTGCCTACCTCCTGGCATGTGTTCTGGTGATGAATATTCGAGGCAGTATCACCCAGTACTTGGGCCTTGGCATCGCAGGGACTCCAGGATCCGAAGAGTCTGGCTAAGCCCAGCCCGGACCAGGGCTTGATGAGAGATGGTGGTGCAGGTCGGCCCCAAGCATGTTGGCACAGCAGGACTCTGAGGTCTCTCGGGAGCTCTGTGGAGGGACATAGGTGGAATTGGGGCTTGTCTTACAGGTCTAATTGCCAGGAGGAATACAGCTCCTTAGGTACCCCAGAGAGCAGCTAATGGGCACATACAGGCTTCTCGTTGCTGAGCCGCTCGTGGAGAATACCCTCACACACTTAGGTGAGAAAGAGTCCCTTTAAGCCATAGTAATTTGCAGTGGGAGGGGAACTTATGTAGCCTAGGCTGGTCTTGAATTCTTGGTCCTGCCTCAGCTTACTACATGCTATCATTACAAATCTGTGCTACTGTGCAGATTTATGATCCTTTCCCACACCATTTTCTTTCCTTCTTTTAGACAGTTTTCTGTGTAGCACAGACTGGTCTTGAGACCACCACTTGCCTCTCCTCTCAAGCGCTGGGATCGAAGGCCTCTGTCTTTATATCCAGTATCATCCTTTGTAAGTGATCCATTCGTATTTTCTAATGAGTTTTTCCTCTTGCCTTAGTTTCCCCTATCTCTGAGACCCACAAGACCTCACCCAGGGCGATCTTCCTCCACTTGCTGCCAAAACTGTCTCCCTGAGAAGCCACAAGAAAGACTCCCTCACCAGTACCTTAGGGCTGAAAATTTGTCTATCTGGATGGAAAGCCGTGGGAGAAAGTGCAATCAAAGGGGTAAACTGAGGCACAAGTGCACACACTCAGAAAACAGCTACATTGACTAGAGGGCTGTTTCAACATCTTGCCTACGCTCTGCCCCAAATCCAGGTACTGCCTCTGCCCCGCACCTGGGGCCTGGATCTGGTTTGTGAACAGGACCCTGCGGGCTCTTCTTTATCCAGCCCTCCCACGCCACGTCCCGAGAGCCTGGATCAAGGGTCAACTGCCTGTGCAGAGGACCAGAGGCCCCTTCCGTTAGAACCCGCAGGGCTCCCCCTGCAGACTGGGTCCCCAGCCCCTTCGCCTAGGGCTCGCTCATCTCTCCCAACGGTGTGTGTGTGACGTCGGCGGACATCAGCAAACAGCTGACGCAAAGCTTGCGGAGATGATGCCCTCCCGTTACCATGATTACAGGTGACGCACGCGCTAGGTAGGGTGTAGGTGCGGCAGCAGGCCTCTGGGGGCGCAGTGGCCCCTCTGCTAGTTTCTTGCGGCCCCACGCTGGGACTTCCCAGTCCGGGAATTCCACCGAGGAGCCGGCCGCGTGCTGCGCGTGGTCCGAGCTGGGGGCCGGAGGAAGCTCTCCTTCGAGCTGTCGGGCTTTCTGCTACACCCCAGATCCCCGAAATAGCTGCGTTGTGCGGGGGCCGGCGCAGAGA